TTCCAGCACGGTGTCTACCTGGTACGGCTCCACGTTAAGCGGACGCGCTTGCTGTGCTATGGGTGTCGGGCTACGGCTACGGCCCTCCCGGGAGTTACCTAGTGTGGGACGCCACTAGACGGGAACTCTGGGAGACGGCTCTTCTGAGTACGACCCACCGGCTGCCAGTTCGTGAGTATTGGACGCAATGACTCACACTGAGGGTGACGGAGGCTACATGACGAAGACCTTGTGAATCGGGCTGTCACATTAGGAGTCGAGGGCAACGCCCGTGTCGGATGCAGGCAACGCCTTTGGAGGCAACGCCCGTGTCAGATACAGGAAACGCCTTTGGAACTGTCGTCACTTCAAGTGGCCTATCCCCGTGAAGCTGGTGCCTAAGAGCTGTTGCTGCTGTGTACAGTCTGCAGTACTGCTCTTTTGACTTAGGCCCTACTCTTTTAACTTTTAGCAACGGCTCCTCTTTTTCCTTCTCTGAGGATCCTATAGGGGTTGTGCGGTCTTCTCTGATGGTTCTGTTTGGTTAGTTTGCTTGTTGGCGTGCCTGCCTGAGGCCTCGGAGCGACAGTTTGGCTCGTTGCTCCAGAAACGGATGAAGGAGGTACCTGCGATTATCGCTGGGCAGTCCCCTCGCGCAGAGCGCAAAGCGCCACAGTCTGTTTCTTGTTTACAAGGCCGCCGGGCGAAGACCGCGTAACCTCTATTGGAATGTCGGCAGGTAGATTCTAACGGAGCGCGCTGGCTTACGGCACACTCCCGAAGCTTCTGCACGCCCGCAATGAGCAGAGCCCGCTCGCTCAGCGTCCAATAATAATTGTTGTTGTTGCTGTTGTTATTTGTGGTTCACTGCCATCTTGGTTGCACCTGCTGTGTGGATTGTTCCTGTAGATGCTCCATCTCTGAATTCCCAGCCTTTCTGCAATAGCTTTCCTACTGCCAACAAAGGGTGAACAACCGAAAATATCAAGAAAACATCTTCAACCTTCACAATGTTGCCTTGAGTGTCCTCAAACTCAACCTCAATGACTCAATGACTCGCTGATCCGTAACCTTGCACGTCTCTCAGAACAATCCTTGCACGATCTGGCGCGCTCCTTCCGTACTTCTTCATCCACATCGGTGCTAACGAAATATTAGCTCCTGAATCCAGCACGACTTCGGTCTCACCAGGTCCTTGACGTCTTACTGCCCCGACAAACCGTGTTCGTTCTGTTGTTTGCTTTGCTGTTCTGTCTACTGTCTACTGGGCGCGTTCCTAGATAGGTTGTTGTTTCTGTTCACGGCTCTGTTGGTTCAGTATACCAGCGGCACAGGAAATCGTCATCTGGATCCACACGGTCCTGAAAATCATCATCTTCATCACCAATCCAGAACCCTCTCTGCTCTCTGCTCTCTTCCTGTATTTCTTCTCCTGCAATCCTCAAGACTCTTCCGAAATACTCAATCTCAACTTCCTCTGAATCTTCACTTAAATTGAAATCTTCCGGCAAGCTTGAAGGCTGATACCCCCATGTGCTGCATGGAAACCATCCTGATCACTGGCTTTTGCATTCCATGGCTTCCTCGGCTTTGCTTAGTAGATCTGGTTCCTGAGGAAGGGGCTTTGAATCCACGAAAACCTCTTTCTTTCCCTTGCTACGACCTTTCAATCTCTGGAGCCTCTGCCTCGACCTTGCCAGTTTCCTCGACCCTCTGCCTTTGAAACCTTTTCCCTTTACCTTCGCCTTTACCATCAAATCCAAACTCCCCTTTGCCTTCCCTGTAGCCTTTACCTGTTCCTTTGTACCATGCTTGGTTAACATCCATGGCTGCAAGACCACCGTGATCTTCAGCTTTGTGCGGTGGCGTCGGAGGCGGTGTCACAGCCAGCACCGGCGCCGAGTTGCACGAGGATGACATGTCGCCGAAGGTCCCTGAGTTCACTCCCAAGATTTAAATTAGGAATCTCGACGCCTGGTGCCACCATCACCGTGAAAGATCTGGGGGAGTCCCAGGCAGAGGTTGGGGTTAAACCTGGCCTCGGCTTCATCGTGAAGTCTGTGCCAGGCCGCATCAGATGCCGTAGCTGTGGCTGGTGGATCGGCAGGCGGCAGAATGGTGTCATCTTCAACTTCGATGACCTCGTGATGATCGGGGTGTTGGTCGCGGATCGCAGCCATCTCTCTGCCGGAGCAGTCGCCTTTTGGCGCGTGGCTGCCGTCCCCTTCGCTTCCACATCGACTAGGCGGAAAGAAGCTCGGGTATCGCCACCAAAGCTCGGGTCGCTGTCGGTCGATGTTGCTGTGGAGCTGGCGGCTGGTTCGAAGATGAGGCTGCCTCTCGAGCTGGAGGAAAGAAACTCCGGTCTCAAGTTGTCGCCGTCGGTCTGTTGGTCCGTCGGGAATCACTTTGTCCAGGGCAACTCCGCGGGGTGCTCGAGGCGATCTCACTCTGGACACATTGTTGCGCTTAGCAGCCTCGTTGCACCCTCGATACTCTTCGCGGACCAAGTCGGCGGGCGTCCCTCGTGCAATTGGGCAACGTCCTCGCGATTGATCTGTACCACCATCGATGCTCTGGTATTTAACAGACGGTCGCCGACAGCCTCGTGATTTGGACTCGAATGCTCGACGTAGGGCTCTCTCTCGTCTGTGGGTAATCGCAGATACCGCGAAACCACTTGGCAGATGATACCCAAAAGGACCCAATGATCATTGAATCGGGATGAACGTGCGGGCAATTCGTGCGATTGTTGAAGTTTTTACTGTCCATATATCGAAGACAAATGCTGGCACGCAGCTCGCTGTCGGGCACTACTATGGTGCTCGAGACGTCCTCGCGAATCGACAGCGAATTCGGGGCATCGAAGGTCTCGGCAGACCCATGACACAAGAAGATGTCCCACGAATTATCCCGGTCGGCCATGGCTTGCTCGAGGACAAGTCGCAGGAGCACCGGGGAAACGAAAACTGTCAAGAAACGAACCTTATACCAAAATGGCCACGGACAAGTAGCATGTTCAAGCCCATCGACAACTGAGGACCCTCGAAAGTCCATTGGTGTGAGCAATAAAGCAATAAGCTGTCACGTCGCACACCCGTGTGCTACACAGAAAGGTCACGTGGTGCAGGTATTCGTGCTGGTTTTGCGCTCACATCACCTCGTTTAGTCACATCAGAAAGAGCGAAACCCAATGTGCATAAGGCCCCGAAGTGGGTTCCAACACATGTAACAAAATGAATAGAAACGCCGCGTGCTGCAGGTAGTCGTGCATGTTTTGCATTCACATCACCTCGTTTAGTCACATCAGAAAGAGCGAAACCCATGTGCACACAGCCCGGAAGTGGGAAAAACACATGTAACAACATGAGGTATTCGTGCCTGTTTTGTGCTCACATCACCTCGTTTCATCACATTAACAACAGATGGCCCGGATGTGGGTTTCAACACCGCTTGTATATCCAGCCGTTTCCGCAAACTTGGGTTCAGGCATGTGCAATGTGGAACAAGTCCCATCCGCAAGGACAGCTCGAACCGGAAGTCGTACCACTAGCCTTGTTCCCCAAGTAGGCGCACGATTTCAGAAGCACCCGCTCCAGGAACGCATCATAGCGCGCGAAGATTTAAGGAAAACATGCCGTGCCCCCGATTTCAGAAGCACCCGCTCAACATGAACAGTAGAGTCACAGCACGTCAAAGCCAGCCATTCCCCGCTTCACATGTGTACCCAGCATTCGGTGGTATGCCCGGAGCCGATCGGGCTGACAGACCGGTGTGGCAATAGATGAGCTATTAGAAGAACTGCTATATATCATCCCGCGCTTTCTGACTGGATGCCTTGTCTTGCATGGAGCTATATGGGTGAGTATCTAGACACTCGAGACGCACATCAGTGACACATCAAACCCAGCCATTCCCCATCTGCACCGTCGATTCAACAAACACCTACTCGAGACGCACATCAGTGACACATCAAACCCAGCCATTGCCCATCTGCACCCTCGATTCAACAAACACCCACTCGAGACGCACATCTGTGACCCATCAAACCCAGCCGTTCCCCATCTAGATAATTCATTCCACAAGCACCCACTCCAGACACACATCAGTGGCATCACAGCCCATCAAAACCAGCCGCTCGCCATCTAGATGCTCAACTCATCTCAATTCCACGTGGAACCATCGGATCCTTCAGAACTAGAAGTTACTGATTCAAGCACCTTCCCGAAGGTGGACGCTGAGCGATGGATATTTCAACACAGCGATGCGAGACAAAGCGACCGCTCGATCACAGTAGTGGACTGTATGAGTTGACAACACGTTTCCGCAAGGCGGCGCCGCGCAAACAAGCATGCAAGATGTTCTCACGATAGTGGATTCTATGGCTAACAACACGTTTCCGCAGGCGCACAACTGCACAAAGAAGCATACAATATGCTGTCACAGTAGTGGATTGTATGGGTTGACAACGCGGTGCCAACAAGCATGCAGGTTGCTATCACAGCAGTGGATTCTATGGCTTAACAGCGCGTTTCCGCAAGGGCACACTGCACGAGCAAGCATGCAAGCTGTAATCACAGTAGTGGATTGTACGGATGGACAACACGATTCGGCAAGGTGGCGCCGCGCAAACAAGCATGCAAGATGTTCTCACACTAGCGGATTCATTGGCTGACAACGCGTTTCCGCAGGGGCACACTGCACAAAGAAGCATGCAAGATGTTGTCACAGTGGATTGTACGGGTTGACAACACGTTTCCGCAAGGTGGCGCTATGCAAACAAGCATGCAAAAGAGTTCTCACGGTAATGGATTCAATGGCTTAACAACACGATTCCGCAACAGCACACTGCACAAAGAAGCATGCAAGATGTTATCGCAGTAGTGGATTGTATTGGTTGACAACATGTTTCCGCAACGTCACACTGGATCGATGTGACTAAACACAAGTTGATGCGACTTAACCCATGCACCCAGTACATGATGCGACATCTATGAATATCTTTTCGCTGCCGAGGTGGCTTATCCGTGAAGAACTCCTCCACGGTCTGGATCATGGAGTGTGCTTGCTCGCCCTTACTCGCCGCACGTAGGTACAGCACATACTTCTGGCATGTCGAGCAGCCACTCCTCGGCAAAAACAAGGAAAAGCCACCTATGCTGACCTGACCTGGGCTCTCTGCCGCATGTGCTTTTTCAAAAAATGTGTTTGCCAGGCAAAACGACAGGCTGTTTGGTGCCGGCAACATGCCGGTACCTGCTCTTAATTATTAGTGTTGGCGTCGACAAATCCAGTGTTTTGCAGTCTTGCATGCGTAGATACTGGAACGGTGTTGGCTCGGTTTTCCGCCGGTGTTCTTAAACACCGGTTTTGGTTCAGGTTTTCATCGGCGCGGTTTTTGCTCACATTTAAATTTTGGAGAGATTGTTTGCCTTGCAAAAAAGCAGGGCTTTGCAGTCTAGCAGGCGTTGATGCTGAATCTCTTAGAAATTCAATATTGGAGACGCTGATAGAGGCTGTTTCCTCGCAAGCAAGCAGCGTTTTGCAGTCTTGGATGTGTTTATGCTGAATTTCTTCGCCTTTCAACATTGGAGAGGCTGTTTCCCTCGCAGAAAAAGAGAGTTTTGCCGTCTTGCATGCTTGACTGCTGGAATGTTGTTGGCACGGTTTTTGGTTTTGCTTTGTAACTCCGGTACCGGGATCAGGTTGTCACAGCCACTCGTACTTCCGTGTCTGGGGAAAGCCATGATGCAGACAAAAACTAGCGGCGTCAGTAATCGTTGCAGCAGTACAACTTTCATCATGGTCAGGAATGTGAGGATAACGCTAACGATTTGCATCCTGATGTTTACAGTGGTACTGCTCATGATGATGATGTTGATATGATCATGATGATCTTGGTGATGATGAGAAACATGAAAAGAGTGTGACCATTATTGGGGTGATGTGGTCGCTGGTTAGGATGGATACGAAGATACGGTGGCTGGCGGGTGAAAATGACAAAGACGAAGGCCTTGATGATGGTCACGGAACTGATGAGGATGATGATGATTGCCTTGATGGTGCAGATGAAGATTATGATGATGATTATGGTGATGGTGGTCAACAGCACGATGAATGTTCATATTTTGAATACCAGTGGCATGGATTGGTCTCCATGAATCCCTTATCGTAGGAGCGCATTTACTTACTCAGTTACTCACAGGTACACGCACGCACAAACACACACACACACACACACACACACACGCCAAGCACTGGTGCATTGAAAAATCAACAGAATCCGACATACACACGTGGCAGCAAAACAAAGACACACGCGCCCGCACACACGCACGCACACATACACACACAGACACATGCACTGCTTCTGCTTCTTGCACACTCACTCACTGCCTCCATCACTCCATCACTTGCTTAATCACTCACTCACACACACTCAAGACATTCAAGACTTCCAAAGTCAATCACTCACAAGCGTTCACTCACCCGCTCACCACTGACCACTCACGCACTCAGTCAGATCAAGTCCTTCCTTCCTTCTTCCTTGATTCACTCGTTCATTCACTTATTCACACACAACACACAGATGAGAGGTAAGAGAGACCCAGAGACAGACTCTGAATAACGCTCACAAACAATTATAATGGCCAAAGGGGAGAGCCACCAAGGCACATAAAGCATTTGTACGGCTTGTCCTGGGTTCCGTGGTTCGAAAGAATGCCTGTGCAAATGAACGGCGAGGCACAGCTCAAACTTATTATGACCTCATTGGATTGAAGACGAGCCATATGGCCGCCTTCGTCCGTGATCTCTTGCACGCGAAAATACCTTGCAGGCGCCGACTTACACCCAATGAACTGACCAAGACCAAGGTCTCAGCCAGCAGCTCTTGCATGGTTCGACGAAGGCTCGTGGAATTGGAACCGATTTGGCTTTCTCTCTCACTCTGCTGGCTCGCGTGATATGTAGCAGTCAATCAACAACAATAGCTCTAGACCGGTGAGTCTACGTGGCATGTGTGGTCGCATGCTCATAGCCACTGCAGCGGGTCAGGGCATCGACAAGCGATTAGCTTCATTCCGACTGTACACTTGTGACTATGGCCAAGTACTTGCTGAACGCGTGAGTTGTGGACTCATGCCGTAAACACATTCAAGGCTTCTCGTAAGCTCGAGTCTTCTAAGGCAGTTGCCCACAGCACAGAACAATCACTGAAGCAGGCCATCGGTGTTTTTAATATCGAGACTGTCAGCATCTCAACGACCAAGGCCCTGATTGCATTCAGGCTGCTGTCGTGCGAGAGTTCGTCCAAGCAAACGCTTAATTCCAGTCTGCGTGGCCACTATTGCCAGCGAATCCTGAGGTACGATAAGTGTTTCCTGTACCCTTGGCAGAAACAGGCAGGGCTTGCCTTGGATTGACTTCCTGTCAACACGGACACCACCACTACCCCAAACCGACAGGTCATCTGCGCCGCAAGTCAAGTCTTGCCGTGCAACAAAACTGTGGAAGCATGTCAGGATGTTCTAGACTGAAGTGATGTGGCTGGTTTATGGCGATCTGTGAAAAGACGGCAGGCCTTCACGCACACCAGCGCAATATCACTTCTGGTCGAACCACCAAATTGCAAGAGCCTGGCCTGCTGCTTGGCCTTCTCTTTGCAAAACCGGATGCGACCATTGAGAAAGACTGGCCGCGGGAGGACATTCTGCAGAACAGTCCTGCTATCAGGACGTGTTGCCCATGGTGCCAGCCGCGTTGCCACAAGTCATGACACACAATCAGCAGATTCTGGGGGACGCGAGGCAGTCAGCATCTCTTGTACAACCCCATTTGATCGCATCGCCTGAAATCCTGCAGAGCACCTCTATAGTCGTCCGGTATGTCAGGCTCCTCCTTAGGAACAAAGCGCAGCGCTAACGTACAATGCTGTGACATCTGTCGCACATCATCAATCGCAGTATGCTTTCGAGAACCAAGCTTCACAGATCTCGAAACTGTCTTTCAGATCTCCGGGTTGGCGGATGAGGTTCACCTTCACGAGTGCTGTAGCTCCAGAGTCGCGACGGAATGTGTACCTTGTGTACCTGAATGATGCAGCCGCGCTGTCTGTATACCGCATGCGACTTATGGCGACTCGACGATTTTCGCATGTCTTTCTGTAGCCAGGGTGCTCTGGACGCACCAACTTTGCGTCATCTATCAGATCCATCCTTCGCGCTGGCCCCCACAAGCCTTTGCCCCGCCGCAGAGTGCCTGTGTTTTCCAGCTGTCCGTTCGGAAGGAGCGTGTGCACCATGATCGGATGGAAGGGAATCTCGCCCGGTTCCCAAAGAAGCCTTGCGACGTGGAGACGCAAAGCAGAGGCAGAGGGCCTTGGAATGTTCATTGAGGCCTTGTTGCGCAGGATTCCCAGCCATCAATTACTTCTATATCCTCCTCGTCTGCAAGCGCCTGGGAAAACGCAAACGGAGCTCGCCATCTGCAAGAGAACGGCTTGAGTACGGGCCGGTACATGCAGGTCGATATCGGAGAGGACTAGCGTTATCAGGCATCATGTTCAATTGCTCTGGGCATGAAAGGAAAACATTTAAACGAAAACCTTTTTGACACATCAACTTCGCTTGCGGCACCTTCAAAAGCGGAGCTCGCAGCTCCGCTTGGAGGTTGCTTGTCAGAGCGAGGGGTGTTCTCCTTCGCGAAAAGCTTGCAGCCAACCTGTGCACCGAAGATCATGTCCTACAAAATCATCCTCAGCGGCAATTCAATATCATTAACATGCTTTCGTGTCTCTCACGGCCAAAGCACCAGATTAGATGGTTCTGAAGCACGCGACGAAGAAGGCGAATCTCTTCAAAAATACCTGCGCCAATCAAGTGTCCAGGCGTGAGAGTCTTGTTCAGCACTCCTGAACCCTGTACATTGGCCGGGTCAACGGAAGAAATCAACTGTCGACCTACCCTAATCACAGCGCCTCGAAAAAGGTCCATGGCTCAAGCGGCTGCTCGCTACAAAGGCCGGAGCTGGATCCAACAACTCGGACGCTTCACGCTTTCAGTAGCAACTGCTGCATTGAGGTGGCCTTATAAAGCCCCCGCCCTACACTTTCTTGCTATAGTGGGCCTTCAACCTGACTTGAGTATTCGAACTTCAACCAGCCTCCGAGGCACTGTTCGAAAGTTCTGGTCTCAGTAAAGGAAAGCTCGCGTTCTTGTCGCCAGCTGATGCTTTTTCGGGAGGCGTGTCTACCCGCTAAGCAAAACCCAAGGTTCATGCGCACAATTTCTCAGGAACTGTTTTCGGACTCTGGCCCTCCGCCCTCAACAACCCACCCCAAGACAAACAATGCCATGCACTCCGCAGATTGAAACCGCACAACAGACAACAAAAGCCTGCAAATCCAGGCGGCAGTTACTCTGCTTGTTTCTGGTCGGAGTGTGCTGGCACGCAATAGTCTTGCCACGACAACCGCGATTTGATAGCACCAGTCGTGGGGTTAAATCCCATCACGAGGCTTCGAACCCGGCACATGGCACCCTGAACACCAGAGCACCTGTGCGTTGAAGCCAATGCAAAGATCCGGGCAAATCTTGTGGCGGATGCTTACAGCCTGCTCGTCTGAAGCTTGTATGTACATGTGGTCGGGAGCACATATCAATGAGTCACTCGGAGACGACCAGAAAGCCTACTGATGTGGACACGGAATTCCGGCTCAGAACCTCGTCAAAGCGAGAACAGCTGTCCTTTGCCCACGGCCTTGAAATAGACCTGTCAGCACAAATCCGGACAAAGAGATACTACGGGCTTGCAGAATTTCCAACGTTCGTTCCCATCAGCTAGATGCTAAGAACGGCCACAAGCCATGGAACTGCAGGTCTTTAGCCCGAAACCCTCTGAAGCCGCCCTATGCTTATACAGCGGTTAATCGAAATACGGCAATTACATAGAAAAACTACGAGGCACGTCCGTGGAGCAGCGCTTCAGAACTTCTTTCGCCAGCACTTTGAGGAACGCATTCTGGCAGCCATCGTGGGCCTACTGGGTATTGGACTGGCAGGATTGGTCAGCTCGGCACACTCTACTATCGCAACAGTGCACGGAGCCTCATCATCCACAGCAAGGAGGAATGTGTGTGCTCCGGGAAAGGTAGTTCCGGATATGTCCCCTCTGTTAAACTTCCACCATATCTCGTGCTGGTCCGGGTTGTAGTGATGCCGGCTGAGTATTAGGATTGTCGTAGCACCACCGATGCGCTCCTGAGGACTGACCTGGGCCAGTATCAGCAAATGACTGCATCAGCGAAGGATTACGCTGGCAAAAGCCACGTCTCAAAAACAACTACCTCTAGCCCCAGCTGCCCAATCGCCACTCTTCTTGAGAGTGAAGACTTCGTCACGACGATACCCTTCCTTTTCGTTTCTTCCCCACGGCCTGCACAATCTGTGATCGCTTCTACAGTCTTCGACCACATTCAGCCCTTCAACATATCAGGGCATTGACTATTGACTCTCTGGCAGCATCCACACGGCATGCAGGAACTGCAGCGAAGGGCATCATGGGATGCACCGAAATTCTGCTGCTGCGGAAGAAACAGTGGACGGACTACATCAGACGCTAATTCCTCAGCAGCGCGGCCTCAACCACGGAAAGTCCCGGTCAATCACATCGTAAATGTATTGGCCCATGTGCGTATTCTTGAAGATGTGGTCCTCACCGGCCCTGACACCTGGCCTTGGCCGACAGCGTTTGCCGCACTGACGTCTGATGCATCGAAACAAGCCATGTCTGACGAAAATCGAAGCTCTTCTCAAAATCGCTGCGCAAGCCAAATAAGCCGCAAGCCCAATGTTGGAATCGGTATTCTTCGTGTCCGAGCGGAGTGCGAGATGCACTTTTAGTCTGCCCAAGAACCTCTGCGAACCTGTCAGCTGAACTAGGACGGAAACGCTGGCCATGAAAGCATGAGAGAGTGCAACAATCAACTGCAGTCGCGAATGCAAGCAGCTTCAACGTCCCACATTGAAGTCATACGACGGGTCTGTTAAAACATGGACATACATAGACAGTCTGCATAAGCAAGCGAGCCCGAGCGCATCAATCAAACGTTTGAGCATCAATGTGTCCAAACCACCATTCATGAGCATCATCAGCATCAATGCAGGTGTGCTTGTTGTGCCCCATGTGCAGCCATGCAAACCTGGACTCAGACATCATCGGAGAGTCAAGGCACAACACAGGTGGAGATCGCGAACCTAATGACACTGGGTCCGTGACAGTAGCATGCATGCTGCATTCTGTCGTCCCTGATGCTTGGCGGAAATCGCGCAAGACCTCTGCTGGTTCGCTAGCTGATCCTCCAGCTGTTCGGCAGACGCTTCGGCTGACCAGTCTTGTGTGACATCTGGTCAATGCGTGGCAGGCCTAGAACGTTGGATACGAAGCGCGTAGAAAAAACATGTTTCATGAGACTTCTGCACCTTGAGAACGTCTCTGCAGCCAACGGCGTTCGGACTTCCCGCACTCCGATGCCCGACCATGTCAGCTCACAGTCAGAATGGGATAGTCTAATAATAGTGGTACTGTCGGTCGGATCAGGCGAGGTCGAGGCCATCGATGCAAAGCGGTGGCTCATGGTAAAAATGTCGTAAAGAATCCTTCTCGGCTTAATGAGTGCAACACAGCGCGTCGGCCTGAATTGTAAGCAGAAGCCTGGCCAGTTGATCCGACATTTACACTAACGGGATACGAACAATGCCTGTTGAGTCACAGCCCTTGCATGACAGCTGATTGCAACCGGCCCATGCGGAAAACGACGTGCCCAGTCAGCGTGGTTCTCAAAGCTTGTTTAAGCCAGTGCATGCGCCGATTTGTCGATTTGTCAGTCTGGCTCTGCATGTCTTTGTGTTTTTGTGTCTTTCTGTCTGTCTGTCTGCTTGTCTGTCTGTCTGTCTCTCTCCCTACTGTTTTCTTTCAACGGATATTGCGGTGGACAATGACAGAACTCCTGTCTCTCCCACTGTCCTCGTCATTCGCTCGCTTAGTTGCCTCAATCTTCCGCACCACCATTCCCAGGATCTATCGTTGGAAATGTCTGACACCCGCGACGGGTCCCCGCAGATTGAGAATCCTGCAAACCATGCCATCGGCTGGGAGTGGCTTGTCTTCACGGGTACTGTGAGAAGCCTGTCCGGTTCCTCAATGACTGTCCTCGTCATCTACATGCGTGCGGCAGGCCTCACGACACTCACGCCGAAGGACTTTGAACAAAACCCGACTCTATCCGGTGGGAAACCAACCGCAGCCCTGCCAAAACCTGATAGAACGGGCATTGAGCACGATGAATCTGCCTGGCTCTCGGGCAGGTCCGTCTGGTGTCGTCGTGTCAGTAAACGTCGAACCTGACGAGATGAACCCTTAAACTTGAGTCAACCGTTCTGAGAGACAGCTTCTGCATGAAGGTGTCAGCCTGACTTAGTCAGGGACCAAAATCTGATCCATCCTGCGCAGTAGGTGGCGCTGTCGGATGCTGCTTCGGGACGTCTGAGCACAGCAAGCATCCAGGAATCGGTGTCTGCCAATGCTGCCGGCATCAACGACCAACAACTGACCAACACCCTGCCTCAATCTGCGGTCCCAGAACCGGTGACACCGATGCAAGCTATAGTGCGGTTACTCATTGTCATCAAAGTTTCTTCTACTGGCCGACACACGTGCGCTCATGTGCTGCGTTTACCTCAACAGCCTGCGACTACTTCCTCAACGCTGTTCTGCTAAAGCACTTGCAAGCACATTCAGTTGCTGGGACATTGGCTGCCTTTGTGCTTCGGTGGTCTTGCCGAGGACGGTGATCCTGCGGCAGGAAGCACATCAGCGAGTGCTTGCCTAGGCTGCTGCACTACAACTCCAACATGTCACTTCGAAAGCAAGTCATCACTAAAATGCTGGCAAAGAATCTCAATGTCTGATCTCACACTGACCTTTGCACCCGCCGGAAATGGGCCGAGCGGTAACCAAAATTGAATGGGGCGACAGCTGTCGGATGGTCCTGGCGTGTAAGCGCCGGGGAAGAGCTCGGGTGCCACCATGCACCTTATCTTCCGTCGAACGCAGAAAGTCGGAAAGCGCACAGCAACCCGCCAAAGCCGGGCTTACCGTCTATATAGCTCGAGGATTGGTGAGAGGCAGGGCATAGTGCTAGGCTCCTCTTCCCGTTGCCACAAGAAAAAAGCGAAGCATGCGCAGTTTGGCGAGCCGGGAATTGCAGCAAGGTTCCGCTACGGCAAAAGATGGCGTCGACTCAGAAATGCAAAACAAAACTTTAGTTGGGCCCCTGCTCAGGCAAGCTTGACCAACCCATGTGTCCTGTAGCAGCAGCTTGCAGTCGGCAAAAGCTTGATTTCATTTAGCAAATTAAACCCTTGTAAGCAATCATGCTGTATATTACGTGGGCAAATACAAGCCTTTCAACAACCCGACCTCATTACCAGAAGGTGGGCATTCAGAACTTAGTGAGCTTCGAATGCCTGCATGTCGCGATGGACATTCGCCCAACTGTCCTTCATGCTGTGCACCCGGATCATAGCACCATTCACCGGACCTGGGAATGCAGGCATCCGCCTCTCAACGAACTCCGGCGCACCATGCGCCTATTTGAGGGGGATGCACCTGCTGCCGGGTTGCTGCCAACTTTGGCCGCCTGGTCCACATGCAATGCACTCTCGGATAGGCCGTTGCAAATGCAAGAGCAGTGGAACTGTCTCTCGGTGCCATCGCACATCTACGATCAGCGAACATGTCCGATTCATCCCACCGCTCCGGAATTGACCCCTGTAAATGCTCGTCTGGCCCAAACTTAGCAGAAAACCCACATCCAGAAGAGTTTACACATTTTCGTGCTGGCCAAGGCCCCCCGCACTGATCATTCATCCCAGCCTTTCTCCTAAAACTCAGTTGCAGGTCTATGAAGCTCGTTTTCTGCCGTGTGTGCAAA